GGAAGGTGGGAGAGCAGGCGCCAGCTCTCCAAGGCCTCTGGGCACCACCGCCAGGGTTCCTTCCCGCAAGGAGGCATCCACTATCTCCCGGCTCCAGGAAGCTAACCCGCTTCAGCTGCATGAAGGAACCAAGGGGGGAGGGATCCACAGAGAGCACCTGTCCTGTGACTGACCTCCTCCTCCTCTTCCTCCTCCTCCTCCTCCTCCTCCTCCCCCCATCTCGCTCCGCTCGCTTAACAAGTGCCAACCACAAACTAGCAGGCTCTGCCCTGATCCTAATCAGTTAATTGCTCACTGCTTTCACCTCGGGCACAGCTCCCACCCTGGTTGGCGGGCCAAAGAGACTGCCGTTGTGATCCTTCCTATGGGGAATGCCCATTGCCGCTCCTGCGTTCCTTTCCTCCTCGTGCTTTACTGGAGCTTGGTTAAGGAAATGGCAATCTCCTTTCTGATTAATCTCCTGGGCATCCCCAAGGGGGGGAGCAAGTTAGGGCTATAAGAACTACCCCAGACGGTGACCCTCTTTTGACCCTCCATGGACTATCAACCTTGTCACAATCCAGACTCACCGTGGTGCTGACGGAATGACTCTCTGGTGCTCTAAGGACAGGGACCATCTTCATAAACCTTTATTAATCATAAGCCTCCTGGCACCTTCCTGGGTGTTCACTTTCTTTAGAATCCAACCCACGTAGCCAGCGGCAGCACCCTAGCCACCTCACTGGAGACCCCAGCCCAAAAGGAATCCCAGGTAAGCAGACAAGGCGGCCCCCCAGGCGTCACCTTGGATCCTGCCCACACGGAGCCAAGGCTTAAGGGAATCCGCCCAACTTGGATGGCAAAATGTTGGCTGATTGATCCCAGGGCCAGACAAGGCCGCTTGGGGTTGGCTCCTTCCTGGCAGGGAACCGGCCGCCTGAAACCCACCCGCAGGACAGCTGACCGATGGAGCAAGAGAAGTAAGTGTCCTTTGCCTCTCTTGATCACCTCATTGATGCGTCTTTTTTTTCCACCGAAGACGGCTGCGCACGCAGATGCTGCGGCTGGTTGCTGTCCTTTTCAGTGCATGGTATGGATGATTTTGTGTGTATTTTTGTTTTTTTTTAATATATCTTGGGGGGCAAGAAGTATTTACAGCCGGCAAGCTTTGTTACAAATTGGATTGAAATGTGAAAGGGCTATTACAGTTGACTTTATACGCTGTCATAATATACCGGCGGAGGCAATTAGGACCCTGGGGGAGCCTTGGATTACCATGCCTGTAGGACGGAGGGATAGAAGGAGAAGGAGAGGCTGTCGCGCTGGCGTTTTTACTAGGTTGAGTAAGTCCCCACACAGGCCTTCAGTTCCAAGTATTTTCCTTACTAATGCAAGATCCCTTATCAACCAAATGGATGAATTAAGGCTGCAAATTGCACGGAGCAAGTTCATCAAGGACCGTTGCGTGTTGCTAAT